AGAATGTAAAGCGCAATGTTTGACCGACCGATCCAAGTCCGACACGTATAAAGTAAATAAGATTGGTCCTAAAATGGAACCTTGCGGCACCCCCTTTACAATGACCCGATTGTCAGAATAGTCACTGCCTATTTTAACTTGTTGAAGTCGATCTGATAGGTAATTGTCATACCATGTAATCGAATTCTCAGAAAAACCAAGAAGGTGCAGCTTAGCCAATAACATTTTGTGTTTTAAACAGTCAAATGCCTTTCTTAAATCCAACAGAACAGTTGTAGTTACGCAGGAATTATCTATAGCTCTCAAGTAGTCATCACAAATGTCAACTAATGCAGTCACAGTACTATGATTTTTTCTAAATCCCGACTGTGTATTTGGAATTAAGCTGTATTATTGATGTGTGTTAGCATTTGCTCGTAAACGATCTTTTCTAGAATTTTTGAAAAGAGTGAAAGTATGCTTATAGGCCTGAAATCGCAAGGCAATTGGGGATTATCGGTTTTACCAACGGGAATAACAGTTGCGGCTTTCCATATGAGTGGTACGATACCATGTTCCAAAGAAAAGTTTATAATATGAGTAAGAGCCTTGAGGCTAAAAGGAAGAATATAGGAAAATGTATCTATATTTAATCCATCTGGTCCGGTAGCACGCGAGTTTATTTTTGAAAGGTCTTCAAGACTTTTTCCTCGGTAACAAACTTAAACTGAAATAGGTCATTGATATTTGGTAGCATGTTGGTGTTGTAGTACTCTAATAGTGTTTCATTTATTGAGTTATCGGGAACTGAATCCACAAAACAGTTATTTAATATGTTGGGTTCCAAAGTACACTGATTATTTTTACCCTTAGAACCATGAATCCCTAGCTCCTCTATAGCTTTCCACCAGCTCCGAGAACTGTTGCGTTTTCTTAGCTGGTATTCAATATATGCTTTTTTTTCGCGCCTAATAGATGCTGTGACTAGATTCCTTAATTGCTTATAGTAGTTCCATTTGGCAGTTTTTATCTCGTCAGAAAAATTGTTCTTAACAGTTTTCTTATACTTAGAATAGGCGTTATTGCGTAACCGCATCATGAATTTAATATTGTGAGTAATCCAGGACAACGTGCTTTTGATATCTTCCTGGTTTTAATTGGTGCGCATATATTTAGCAGATCATCAATAAGGCTGTAAAAATGTTGCAGTTTTGATTCAATGTCATCATAGTCGATAACACCTAGCTAGTGCATATTAGACGCTACCTCATTCAAAAGAGACTCATCAATATTCCTTACATCACGGGTCTGTACATATTTTGTATCTCTAACGGCTGGTTCACATTCCACACAAAAATAAACTAGATAGTGATCGGACACCGCAGGAAGATTCACAACTCCTTTATTAGCAATCTTAACTTCATCATTAACGAAAACGACATCTATTAAGGTACTACTGTTATTCGTGACCCTGGTTTCATGGTCAACTATTTGATGCAGATTCAAATCTTCAAAAATGTTAGAGACAAAGACACATTCAGGACTACTACAATCAAAGAAGTTAATATTCAAGTCGCCCATGCATACTAAACCCTCTGATGTTGGAAATATAGATGTCAACATTTCCTCCAGCTCCGACAGAGTTCTATAGCTGACACTGGGGGTTTATAAACTACTCCAACCGTGTACTTTTTTTTGTTGACAGATATATTTACCCAAAGCTGTTCAAAACCACTGTTCGCCTCTGCATGCAAGTTCTCCAGGATTGAGCATCGTAAGCCAACTCTGACATATAAGGCAATACCTCCGTCTCGCCTATCAGCCCTGTCATGCCTAAAAAGCTGGTATCCCGCAATTTGTACATTACTTTCAAAAACGTCTGGTCTGATCACCAACCTCTTTCTCCCTGAATTACGACGGCGACGTGTTCCAATCCGACGTGTGTGGTTCCAGCAGGATGGGGCGACCGCCCACACAGCCCGAGCATCCATGGACGTTATTCGCCCTCTCTTCCCTGATCGCCTTATTTCCAGGTTTGGCGATGTTCATTGGCCTCCTTGTTCCCCAGATTTATCCATATGCGATTTTTTCTTATGGGGACACCTCAAGGCTAGGGTATACGCGAACAAGCCCCGAACTCTTGACGAATTGAGGGGCGAAATTCGCGTGGAAGTCGCCCAAGCTGAGAGAGCGATGTTGGAGAGAGTCTACGCGAACTTCCAAGAACGCCTCCAGCACTGCATCGACGATTTCGGCCACCACATGCCTGATGTGATTTTCCACACTTGACTGTCTCAAATGCTATTTCCTTGTGAACCTGATTCCATCAATAAATTTGTTTTCGAGTAAAAATTAGCTATTTTATGATTTTTTTAAAACCGTCCATCCTCTCTGCCGCACCCTGTACTTAACTGGGCATGTTTATATTATTTCCTCGAAGCTAGCCAAGTTTTTATATCTTACATGTTTTAAAACCAATCAAAACGAAATACACAAGTAACATAGTATTAAGCTTTTCAGTTCATTACCAATGGTTCAACTGAAAATATAGTATTTTTCCATATTAAGAGAATATTTTAAATTCGGTCGCCAGCTACACATTCTAGCAAATATTATGTGCTCGTTGTCCCTGCTCAATGGCTACCTTTTTGAGAAGACAATAAGATGACATCTATTAGGTATGTTTTTGTGTTAAATATCAGGTTATTTACGTACGTTACTATTCAAACGATGATATTATCTGCTCATACAATGCATTTATTAAAATGAATAAAAATCACAATATGTTTACGGTTATACCGTATTGTAGGCAGGAGCATCCTTTCTTAGGCAACGCATACTCATTTAGCGAGCATTGTTTACGAAGATATAATCAGTATTTTCTTCGATTCAGTAAAGTGTGTAGAAGATTTTTCGTTGATATAAAATCGAATACAAGGGGAAAGCTATCTTAGTTGTGAGCCAAAGTATGCTTACACTGACCTTGAGCTACTTTCGATACTTTGCAGATGACGAGTATTTTGGGTTTTATGTATGAGAAAATTATTATTATTATTATTATTATTATTATTATGATAATTGAGAAGAGCAGAGTACACAGTACTATAAGCTCATGCAGTAAATATAGTGTACGGACACGTAACACAAATACATCAAATAGAAAAAAATAAAAAAAGACAGTTCATAGCTATAAAGTTTGTACACTCCTCCAGCTATCATACTGCACTTTGAAGCTATTAACTGAAGTAGCACCAACCACACTTTCAGGTAAACTATTCCAGGTGTTGAATATGCGGTTGGGAAGAAACCACTGTCGGACTGTTGTTTTAAATGGCTCCTTATGCAGTTTGAAGCTGTGTCCGCATAGATTGCTGCGCGACGGACGGTATAGATGCATGAGGTTGGTGCCCATCAAACCATGAAGTATCCTGAACGTAACTATAAGATCGCCACGAAGTCTTCGCTCAGTGAATGAGGTCAGGTTGAATAATTCAAGGCGATCTTCATAGCTTGATCTTCGTGCTCCAACGCGGTACTGATTCGACGAGATTTCTATCGCGCAGAAGCACAGTGTCCCATACCGGGCCAGCGAATTCAAGAATTGGCCTCACGAATGCCTTGTAAATGTAGGCGCAAGTGTTGACATCGGATCCTTTGAAAGACCTCTCCAGCATGTATAGAAGTTTCTTGGCTTTTGATGTAACGTGGTGAATATGCTCTGACCAGGAAAGACGATCGTTGACTACAACGCCCAGACCAGTGTGGCTGGAAACTGCTTCGATGTTGTGGTCAGAGATCTTGTATGTAAATCGCGGATTTGTCTTCCCGAGGTGAATTACGAACCGATTTGTTAAATAAGACGAATTATCACTGCATTTCAAAAATAAACGCCTAAATACGAACTTAAATACTTATTTTTTATCATTCATACATATTCCTAATAAAAATACATACGGGTGAATATCAGTTATTGGGGAATTGAATGTTCCTGCAAAAAAATCTTAATCCTAAGGACAAATTGTGGTAAATAGACCATCCAAATAGTGGAAGATAACAATCTTTAGATGGAACATATGGCGAAATTGAGGTAACCATTAAGTCTTAGGAAAAATCTGATTGACAGCTAACAAAATGTATACTCCCCTGACATGTTCCATTCCCAAATTTCACTACAAACATCAACAAATCTCTGTATTATGTACTAGTATAACAATAAGCGGATACTGTTTGTATTACCTAATACATCTGATAACATATTTTCGCAAAAAGACACACTAAAAATATACATAAATGCGTAAAAAATCCCGTTTATTAGTGGTTCCTGAGAACAGTGTCATCCTCACCTGGCGCAATTCAAATTGCATATATTCATCAAAATATGCCAACTATGCGACTTGACCTTGAGCAACAAGTAGCAAATGAAGAAGGGATAGTGCGAAACTATCGTAATTTGGAAAACGAAAGCCAGGGACGCGGCAGTTGCCCACTAACAGTCGTCCGATACCCTTTTGCCAGTGAGTGAAGTGTTTCCCCTGGTAAGTATATCTTTGTTAAATTAAAAGTTACATTTTTGCGACTTTATAAAAAATTAAGATTTTTGAATACAAAAGCCATGAATCAAGATAAAATAATATAATAATCAACATATCTTGCTTTTTTGGGGCTTACGCACGTTTTTGTCACTTCCCTGGCGTCACTCCACTGGCAGTTTTTATGCCAGGGGAAATACACACTGCCCAGGGGAAATACAAAGGCACCTTTTGTATAATATGTGTAGCTACTATACCAAATTTAACTTCAAGAGTTAGTAGATCTGAAATAGGTCAGGCATGAGGGGCTGGGCCAGACGCCTAGGGCCGTATTCAGAGCTCAAACGCTCATTGTCAGTGTTCATACCAATCTGTTACATCAATCAGCGGGCTGCACCTAAGAAGTTGCCCTGCCCAGTTTACGGCTCTGAGCGGCCTGCTTACTGCCTCTTGAAATTGAATGTGGTATAGACACTATTTCATTAATTTCAGATATACCAAAAATCCCACAACTCGCTAAAATGGCAAAATTAAAAAAAAAACTAACCCGAGAGGAAAGGTTGGAGAAAAAACGGAAAGCAGAAAGACTACACGACCAGCGAATTAAAAATGATCCAATCAAGAATGCTGAGTTAAAAGAAAAAGAGAAGTATCACAGAAAGAATGAGAAAGGGCAAGTTAGAAGTATAAAAGATCTGACAAATAGGGAACAGCAAGCTGTGAGAAAGATATGGAGAGAGAAAACTGAAATGTGAGGCAAAAAACTATTGTTAATTATACAGAGTCACCGCCACCTTCGGACCATGAAGATCCACACTTCGATCCTCAAATGTTGGACAATAGAGCTTCAGGTGCCAAAAGACCCTCAGAAAAACAGAGGAAACGGAGAAGTGAGCATATCAAAAAACAAAAAACGAAATTGATCGATTAAAAAAAAGGTGAAGAGATTTCAAAGGAAACTAGATCACGTAAGAAGTCTAAAAATGCCACAAAAGTCGAAAGTGGACCGATTACTAAAAAAAAGCGAAACCAAGTAATCAGGAGAACGTGGAAGAAGTTAAAATGCGTCTGTGAAACTGAAATAAGTAATTTTTCTTAGGTACCACTAAAAACCCAAATACCTGATATTCACCCATACGTATTTTTTCTATCACGGACTGTTTTCTATGTACGGTGACTAACATATTTTAGTAAAAAAATTAAAAAGTATACATCCAGTGTATAAGATTCTTTTACCAATCAACGTCGTCAGTCGTATCTATGCAGCCTCCCCTTTACATATCGTTTAACAAATGTTCCACGTTTTTGGTTCTCTGGTTACATAAACAAACCTTTTAGAATTTCCTTCGTTTAACTTTGCCTCACTTAATTTTGGAAAATATTGGAATCCTTTTCCATGGCACTGTCAACGAAACCGGTCCCAGAAGCCAATTTAATTCATTCATGTTATTAAAAACGTTAGTTATTGTACATACTAATCATCAAAAGGCTCAAAGAATTGTTTTATAAAGAGAACCATCAGTTACGACTTATCTCGTAGTTGTAACAGAAATCTCGTCGCGAAAACCAACTACGAGATAATGTACCATAAAGAAGCTGCAAGCTAAATTGTAATTGACTTCCTTTTCAGATAAATAACATGCGAGATATGCAGGGGAGGTAAAATTACGTCTCCGATGTCAATTAAAGAGAAGTATCTTATATTTAACTTCCCATAAACAAAGTCCGGTATTTTTTGACAATCTTTAATCAAATAGCACTTATCAGTAGCTCTGTTATCGCAGATGCAAAGAAATCCTCATTGTAAACCAAGTAGCATAAATAGTACTTTGACGTCAGCACAAGCTTACGACTTAAAATACATTATTAATTCATCTCGAAAAACATACGATTACACTCATAAACTGTTCCACACAAAAATTCCAAAGTAAAATGAACCAATTCTGCTGATATCGAATATTACTAAATTGGATTCAAGGGGATTGATTGAAAAATTATCGTTGTAAAATGTCGGAGTAGTCCTCCACCAGTTACGTGCCAGAATCCAGAATAGAACGATTATAACATCTCGAAGGCTAAGGTGGAAACGCTTGCCAAGACATTTGCTGCTAACTCCACCATGGATGTCCCCCCAATCCCCGAGTGCCATCGATTCAAAGTGTTCCTTCCACTATGCGGGAAGCTCTCGACATAAACAAAGCTTCTTGTCTGCACTTTATTCCTGCCGCTGCATTGAAGAGGTGTGCAGAAAACTGGAAATTTGCTCAAATCCAACTCATCCCCAAAAAAAAGGAAAGAGGATGAGACCGATCCTTACAACTAGAGGCCTTCATCTCTGCTTTCTGATACAAATAAGTGCCTAAATCGCGAACGTCTGGAGTACGTCGAACATCACGGCTCAGTTAGCGACAAGCAGCATGGTTTCTGGCACCAGCTATCCACAGGCGACCTCCTAGCTTACGCAAAACAACTGTTGAATAAACTCCTCCAGTCACTTGGTGAGGCTCATATCCATCCTCTTGATATCACGAAAGCGTTCGATTCGCTGTGGCAAACTTCCATCCTATGGCCTTCAAGAGAAGCTTTGCAGATGGGTCGATAACTTCCTCTCCGGCCGCAATACAGCCGCCGTTATTGGAACATTCTCCTCTTCATTGTTCCTCTCACGTATCCCTGTTGATGAGCTGGAGAAAGACAGTCTTGTACAGTTTGATGCTTCCAAAACACAGAACTGTACCTTAACGAACACGAAGCATCCTAGCGCTCATCCGGCCGGATGGGCGAGTTTTACCAAAGAGCTGTTCATTTCGTCTGGTCGGAGTTTAGATCACCGAGGACTTAATCTCGCCAATAGCAGCAGCAGCTGCTGGGAAAAAGGTAGGCGATTTGTTCAGGGGTAAGAAGTACTTTTTTCCTCATGACCTCCTCACTCTTTACAATGCCCAGATAAATCTAGCTTCGAGTACCGCTCACGAGCTCAGGGTGCTGCCGCCCCGACGACATTATCCAAAGTCGATGCTGTTCAGAGAGAGCTCTCGTCTAGGGGGCAGTCTCGGGACCCTTTCGCAGTGGTGGGTCGTCGGCTCTCAAGCTCTCTTCTGCCACATCACCAACGGACTTTGCTCCTAAGAGCTCTTCTCCATTATGATTCCACCGCGCAATGCACATGCGAGACAGACTCTCCTGTCTTCGGCCTCCCATCCTATCTGATTAGCTGTTCTCCTTAGTAAACGTCAAAACGTAATATAGATTTGTGAAAAAGAGAATATGTGTGTTTGGGCCTTGCTGACGAGTTTTTTGTATTGAAATTTATATAATAATGTTGGGAGGTACTTTTATACCTGATAAATTTCAACATGTGTTTAAAAAAATTCGGATAAGATGTTAATTTTTTTCTTGGGGTTACCCAAGGATAATAAATTACCTCTCGAAGTTTGATCATATACTTTCATTAACACCATAATATGAATCTTTGAAAGAGCTTATGGTCAGTCTGTATGACATATAAGGGTATCCTAGATTATAACTACCCGGTTATCTAAAACAGTTTTTTTTAAGATTAAGATGCCTGCTCACCTGTATTTTTTTCATTCAAGAAGATCTTGAATCGCTAAGGCCAAGGAATCCTCCAAGCAGTACCATATATCCGGCGAATTTTTCCCCGTTCCCCTCGTATATGTATGATCTCAGGATTATGCAAGATAAAATTTACAAATGCAACATATTAGATTTGTTTAAATTTGATTCTTACACAAAATATGCTGCATATCTCACAAACCTACATATTTTTGGTTAACCTCGTAATTCCTATGTAAATAAAGTGTTTGCATATCCGGTTAAGATTCACCATTTGTACTGCAAATCCAAGAGAATGAGATCGAGTAATTTGAAATTCAAAAATGTTCCAACTTGGAGACTGCCAGTTCATTCGGAAATACCAACATTCAAATTCTGTCTTCGGTAATCTACGAACAAACCGTTTTGTGAACAAACCTACGAACAACAAACTTCTTTCTGACAGATGACATTCTATGTTTGTTTTTATAGCCTACTTTATAAGATAATGCGATTTTTTTATAAAGTTTATTTTTTAAATATAAACAATACGTTTTTGAAGAGAAACGTTAGTAACGAGTTATTAACCAGGAATTGTAAAAGTTTTCATTGCATTCCAGGGCCACTATCATTACCTGGAATTGGCACCCTTTACCAGTACTTTCCGGTGATTGGTGAGTAAAACTACATGTAAAACTGTACAAGTTCCCTTAATCTTGAGTTAAACTAACATTCTGCATATTTTAGGTCAGTATAGGTTTGATACACTACACTTAAATGGCTTTAAAAAATACCAGAAATTTGGACCAGTTGTTCGGGAGCAGATTGTACCAGATGTCAACATCCTGTGGTTATTTGATCCAAGTGATATTGAAACCATGTTTCGACATGAAGGAAAATATCCTCAGAGACGCAGTCACTTAGCACTTGAAAAGTATCGACTTGATAGACCTAATGTTTACAACTCTGGAGGATTGTTACCCACGTAATTTTCATGATTAAGTATTTATTAGTGGGACCACTACGTCTCAAAATTCCTATATAAAGGAAATGATTGAAGCATAGAAGAATTTATTGGATTATCTGACATTGTGATGCTAGTGTCACAAAATATAGTTTTCAAGCGTCAGAAACAAATGGAAAGGTTTTCATAATAACCAAATAATCATCACTTTGTACAGTGAACAAGAACAACATTCCTATACTGCCCTATTAATAAAATGCCCCATATCTCCACTTGAGTTTTGAGAAAACTGCAGTTGAATATTTTTGCTGTTTATGTTGTACTTTTACTTGACTAATAAAGTAAGATTATCTGTCATATAATAGCAAGCAATCAGTTTTCAGAAAAAAATTTGCAAAACTAGGCCATAGCTATTAGCTATGTGATATACAGGCCAAGAAAGTAATCCATTATGTTAAGAATAATTAATTAAATCCACGTATAATCCAAATTTGGCTTATACTTGGTTTTATTTATGTAATTATGATGAAAATTTATATATGCACCAAGTGACAATCACTTTACATATTTAATATCAAAGACATATTTACTTAAAAATAACTCTTAAAAAGTAAGTTTAGAAAAAACGAAAATTATGGTATGTAAAGGCAACTTTGAAAAGAAAATATCTTCTGTTAATTAAAAGACTTCTGCTTACCAAAAGTGATGATGAATTGGTACAATTTCTCCTAAATTCTTTAAAATCTGATGTTTTCTACTATACTGGGAATCACAGGAGGCTTTTGCATTGCAATAGGGTCATTTATTCCAGATTTTAACACCTTTGCTTGCAAAAAATCAATTTCTTTCAACTCAGTCTCAACTTTTGAAATATGGCTTTCTTTCTTGACAATTACCTTAACTATTTGTGACAGGTAAACACATGGCATAATTTTGCTTGTGAAGAAAAGTCTTTCCAGTTAAAGAAATCAGCAACTGTCATTTCCATAACTACCACATGCTTCAAGTTACAGGTTTCAACGACCTCAACAAAATCATGAAAATCATAAACTTTCTTCTTCTTTAAGAACAGCTTCACCTGGTGGTGGAAACTGTCGGCGGATATAAATGTATGGCCCGGTTCCTTTATTCACTTTATATACATGACGTCCCTTGCCCCAGCAACTGTGAAGTCTATCTCTATACTGACGACACTGCACTACTAGGCCAGTCGTGTTCTCATAAACCTTGTTCACGACTGGCTGCAGAGTGCAGTGGAGGAAATATTCTAGTGGGCGGATTGGTGGCTGATCAAAATTAATACTTCGAAAACGCATTCAATCTATTGTACTAAAAAACGTCGCGGTGCCCCATCAGCGATATCAGGAAATGGAACTCGTATACCATGGGAACAATCTGTCAGGTACCTTGGAGTCATCACTGACAAGGGGTTGACCTATCAGTAACATACTGATATTTTGAAAACAAAATTCCAAATTACCTTTTGGCAGCTGTATCTTTAAATGTGCAGAAATTCAAAACTAAGTTTGATCAACTAGATTCGGTTGTATGATTTTATTGCCAAGACGCACATGCAGAGGCTGCAAAATAGAACCCTACGCACATGGTACGTGTCAAATGAGACCTTGGTATCCCATATCTAAGGCACAGCGGCGTTATAATCTAGCCGAAACGCACAGCTTCCCTCTGTTGCGTAATTCAGTAGACTACAATCAAAATTATTTCAGTATAGAAACCTATCAAAATTATTTTTTGTAGTTACAAAATTATTCAAGCAGTCAAAAAAAAGTGCTTAAGCCATTTGAAATTTTTACTCCTTTTTTTGCTCTATGTCTTTCTTTCCTTCTTTCCCGTTAAACATGTTTGGTATCTGGGTAGCACCAGACTTGACAGACTAAAAGACCAATGAGACTTTTAACTAAGAGCAAAGGTCCACCGGACCGCTCTGACGAACAACAACGAATAGTGTAGTACCTACTGCTCACGTGCACTAAAGCTCAACATTTAATGAGTTCCTTTTTCTTATTCATAGAAATGGACCGGAATGGTTCAGAATCAGAAGTGTCCTCCAGAAAGGTCTAAGCAGCCCACAAGCTGTCAAAAGGTTTTTGAAAGGCAGTGATCAGATAATTCAAGAATGGATAGAGTTCATTGGACAACCCCCAAAGAAACATAGAAATGATTATCTACCTGAAATCTCAAGGTTATTTTTAGAATGTATGTTGTAGATTGTAATGTGAAGTTTGCTTAGTATTTTGATTAAGAGATCAGATATAGTTTTCATTACTGCTGCTCATTGATAACAATTTAAGTGTATTCGATTACTTTGCTAGTCCCTATATTTGCCACCTACTGTTCCTAAGCTTTATAGTCTGGAGTTAGGAATGCCCTACATATAATAATAATAATTTATTCACATCAATTACATTATATGAGCCCTATTATAAAGTATGTTACACTTTCTTTTACCGCTTGCTTGTGTAGGTTTGCCACTGCTTCTTTTCAGTGTCCACTCCTAAAATATTAGCTAATGCCAGCAACCCAAAAGTTGGGTAGGAAAAGTGTTTTTCTCTACCTCAGAGCCAGACCGGCACGTGTATTATGTATCTTGAAAAGTGATACTTAATCGTTTTTTTCTTTACGTTTCATGTTTTTTGTGCCATATCGTACATTTTTAGCTTAGCACAAGCTGTTGAACACTTATTGTGAACTTGTTTTGTTGCTGTACGTACTGCTTAAACATCAGCGAACAGCGATCATAGTGAGCAAACCTGGAATGAACTATTTGCACAAACGCTGCCTAGTCTGCAAGATGACATTTCGGTGTTTTTTTTTAACGTTTTTCAGGTGTTAAGTAATAGATAGTTTGTAGTAATGCTGAACTATTTACCTTTAAGCTGAAGAAGTGGTGCAAATTTTCTTAGTTAAGTAGGCACAGTTTAATAATACATATTATTTCATCATTTTACAAATATGTTTTCATTTTCAGTAACAGGGTACTCAATGTTGGACATAAGATTAGATAGTTTCTCTTACCATGAGCATCAGAAACACTCTAGGACATCACGCCTCATAAAAGCTGCATATGTAACAAATTCATGTATTTTAAAAACTGACAATGGACCGCAGTTATGGAAAAAGTTTGAGACTCCTCTTTACAGGAAACTCCGGAAATCTCAGGAATATATGGAAGAGTAAGTTAGCTTCTCAGATATAATCCACAAATATAAAAAGTTCTCTATATGTGTAAAGTATAAACATAATGCAGTTGCATATATTTTGTTTGTTTCATATACTAAATTAGATAAAGAACATTTTCATATGTATTTCATCATATTTAACATGTATAAACTTTACATTTCAGTGTTGCTATAGATCTACTATCATTAAAAATGTCACTATTTAAAGAAAGGGATAAATATACTCCACTTACATTACTTGAAACGTACCTCTCATCCCCAGAATTGGATTTTAAGGATATTATTGGTGTCATTTGTGATTTCTTACTGGCTGGAATAGATACTGTGAGTATAATTATTTATCACTTGGAGGTTTGGGAAGTCTTTGGATAGCGAAGCTCATCACCGCGTTGCAAATATGTTACACCAGTTCCACGTACTGTAAACTCGATTAGCAAGGCACAATAAGCCCTAAAAGCTGCAATGCCATCGGGGACTTTAATCGTACGGGTCCCGGAAAGGGAAACTATGCCATCTTGTGGAGGAGACGCATGTCAAGATATGGATACTAAATTCACTATTATAGTTTCATCGAACAAGTTTTGCACAATATCTTATACTTTTTATTTATTTACTGATGCTTATAATGTTTGCCTGTGGTTAAATTTATTTAATCTTATTTAGTATTTGATACATTTTTAGACAACGTACACCACTAGTTTCCTATTATACCATTTAGCAATCAATCCTGAAGTACAACATAAAGCATATGAAGAATCTTTAAAACTGCTTAAAACACCTCAAAGTGCTGTAACTGAAGATGTATTGAAGGAAGCAGTGTACACAAAAGCTGTGCTCAAAGAATCACTCAGGTTGAGACCCGTATCTGTTGGTATCGGTCGAATTTTACAAAACGAAGCTGTATTCTCTACATATCCGGTGCCTGCAGAGGTAAACATATCTGATTGCTTGAATTGTTTCACATTTTACGTGGAATTTTTCAGAATACTATGCTGCCAAACATACAAGTTTTGTAGTATTACTTACTTATTACCATTCATGCCTACTGTTCAAATAGGTTTTTCATTAAGACCATGACTTTGCAAAGCAAGGTGTCAAGTTTCAACAGCACCTGGTGACATACAAGCTCTGTCGCAAATTAAACAGGACATAGACAAAAATGGACAAGCATTTATTCTTTCGGAAAATCAAAATTATCTTATTTAGTGATTATGTCGGGATGGTCCTCGACGCCTTTTGGATGGCCTCTACGTCGGTATACCGCTATCTCTTCATGGCCAAATGTAGTTTACCGAACAAAAAATAATCATTGTGCTGCCATATCAGAAGTCGGGCCCAAGCGTCGATCGTGCAACTAGGGTCAGCTTCGCTATATTCTGCCCAAACACAACGAATAAAAGATAAAACAGCATTAACCGTTTTTCAAGTCCTGTTTACTGTGCAGTAGACCTTGTATAGTATGGTCAAGGCATTTACTTGTATCTCCCCTTTAAGGCTACATTAATTTATTCACTTACCCTAAGACCAGTCATGCATAAAGTTTTATATGTGCGTAATAAGCGTTCATGATGCTTGACGTGAAAGCTGCAGATTCCAATTTCATGCTGCGAGCCATGCACGCCCTAGACTCATAAATATGATTTTAGACAGTGGTAGTCAGTCAAAACCAGATATCTTGCCGACTAGACAAGTATTTTGAATGTGCTGACAAATTCTTACCGGATCGATGGATAAAAGGGCATCCTCTGTACAAACAGGCACATCCATTTCTACTATTGCCTTTCGGACATGGTCCCAGGTCGTGCATTGCTAGGAGATTAGCAGAGCAAAACATGGTTATACTAACACTAAAGGTAAATTTTCTGGTGAAGTGCTAAATTTTTATTCAAGTTGTCACAGTAATCCAGATGTAAATCATTTTTTCATTTTGTATATAAATCTGATATCTAACAAGGTCGTACCCAGGAGGAGGGGCGCCCCTCCCTTTTACCTGGTTGGGCAAAAATTATTCGTGTACACGGTTTTCTTTACGCTGAATCAATATCCATAAGATGAGAAGTTACTAGGATTAGTTGATATCTCTGTTAGGTATAAACTTAATTTTGCTAAAAGCACTATATACGTTACGTGTGTTTTAAATTCGAACCTTGCCTTTGGGATCTTGGAAACGGTAAAATGTCTCACGATCAAGATTTACTTACAAATTACACTACCGCATTACCACTTTTTCTCATCTACATGGTGGCATAATTTGAATTTCGATCCGACGTTTCATTTAATGAGCTTAAACCAACTACAGTACAATCCGCTTATAATGGACTCGGCGGGACTGTGACAAATAGTCTATTATAGGCGAATGACCATCTTAAAAGAAACACTTTTTTTAATGAAAAAAGCAGCAGAAATAACATATTAGATGTGTTTAACATGTATTACATAAATAAAGATACATACAAAAAAGTTATACGTAATTTTGAAATTTGCATTTTTTCAGAATCTGATACACGTATTACAGGCATACGTACTGTGTGGGTATGTGTAAAAACCGTAAATTATTTGGTAAAAAAGCTAGTAATTTTCACTTGAACAGATTGTTTTCTTGTGCAATTATTTAAAACAACAAGTTGAATTTTATTTAATTTGGTAAGCGTGGCTGTACTGTCTTCTTCTTGCTGAAAATAACTTTTCAACTTTTTCGCGTAGTCTAATGCCTCCTTAATTGTCACCGGAAGCTCTTCTTCATCGTTGTTTTCTAGTTCGTCTTCCTGTTCGTTATCAACGGATCCTTCATTAACCAAATTGGAGTATGACAATTCCTGTGTTACTATTAAATTATTGTCAACATATACGTACATACTCAATAAATTTGTCTATATTCAGTAGACTATTAATTTTCAGTAATTCACTTAATGGAATTTCATCTTCTGGCTTAAAATCTTTGACTATTTCAGTTGTTTTTCACTAGCATAGCGAAAACAAGTATGTATCGTTTCTGGAGTAACCAATTCCCATGCAATAGTAAGCAAATTTATAGCATCTAAAATGGTGACAGTTTTGGTAATGTTGACATCTTCTTAGAGCTCCATAATTTTCATCAACATATGTTTCCGATAAATTTGTTTAAGACTCCAAATGACACCCTGGTCCATTGGTTGCAGAACTGATGTCACATTGGGTGGACAAAATTGAAGGTCGCTGTTATTAAGTCAAATATTTGGATGAGCGGGGCAGTTATCGACCAAGAGCAAAATTTTACGATTTTTCTTAACAAGTTCAACGACCCACTTTTTTAAATATTCTTCAAAAATTGATGCAGTCATCCAAGCTTTATTATTTCCAACATAATCGACGGGAATTGTTTTAACATTTTTGAAACACATGGGATTCTTAAATTTCGAAATAAAAAAAAGGTCATAAATTCTTTACAACACTGCCATTGAATATCAAAAAGATTAGAACATGAATTTCTAGTCATTCACTTACCTTTTATCAATATTTTCCATTTTTCAGTACCTGAAGCATTAGCACAAATCATAACAGTTATTCGCTCTTTTGCAAGTTTCACCTTTTAATTTATGAGTTTTATCTGGTAGCATTCTGTAAAATATCCTGGTTTCATCTGCGTTGAATATGTTATCATCCGAATGATTACTGGATATGACGGGCCAAACTTGAGAAATCCAGTCATTAGTAACGTTCTTGTCAACTGAAGCTGACACCACACATTTTTCCAAAAACAATGTTATGTCTTTTCTTAAACCTGTCTAGCATAGGGCCACTTATTGGAAAATTATTAGCAAGCTTTTGTTGAAACCGTTTAAACAGCATATCATCGACTTGGGGATGCAGCGATAGCCGCATTTTTTTATTTTGACTATTTGATTTCTAGTTTATTTTATTTTTGTCACGGTTTTTCCACATATTTGACATAGCAGATTTTTTTATAGCCAAACGAGCACATATATTGATGAACCCTGCTCAAGCTAACTAATTATTGTGAACTTTTCGTGTAATGTAAATGTACTTTTCGACATGCTTATAACTCTAATAAATACAGTATAGCACTGGTGGCCAAGTTCGAATGCAAACTGCGAAGCCAAACCAAACGACCAAAATAGCTCGCATATAATGCATTAAAATAGTCCCCTATAAGCGAGGATCTATTTTAAGCGAATCTATAATATCCGAGGATTTTACATGCAATTATTTATAGGACCTTAAATTGTATCCATTATATATAGGTTTCCATTATAAGCAAGTTCATTATAAGTGGATTCCACTGTATATGAAGTTAGACACTTGGAGTCTTATGTCAATGCCTAAAATATTATCATCTTTGATATTCTATGAAACAAATGACTATATGTTAATTTCAAGGCTTACTCAAAAATTTTTTTTATACTAATGTATGACATGCTATAATATTTGAATATCAGAATTGAAAGCTATTCGCCTATGCAAAATGGCATACATAAGACAAATCAAAGTTCAGTCGGGAGATAAGAGATCAAAACTCTTATTAAAGTTCTATTTTTTGTTCTATTTTCCGAGATCACAATGGTGAAATATGATAAATTTGTTTTTCAAATCATTCTAGAACAAACTAGGTACAGTATATCCTTCTACTTATTCTGTAAAACTATTTTTGGCTTTATGACGAAATTTCGAGTAATTGTAGAAAAATATCGACAAAAATAAATAATTTCCGGAATTAATAAAATATGCTCTATCCCCGGCTATATTGAAACGTGTTCCTTTGAAGTGGCATATTAGAATATACTAAAATATGTACGGTGTTCTATTTGAAAAAAAATTTTTCGTTGTCGTTTTGGTAGGGAGTGGTATATTCCGTGTAGGAGGCCTTAGTTTTTGGCTTCTATTTCGTGTTTACTCTTATGCACTTTTCGGCAAAAAATGAAGATTCAACTGTTGCCAAAAAAGATAAAGTCAAGTTTGGGAGAGTTATAGATATTTTGTTGATGATATACTGGATCGAAATTTCTTCAAAATCCCGTGATACTTTCCAAGTTATAGAAGGGCCAATTAACAAAAACTATAAATATTTTTTTGTCTGTAATAGATGGCCATCGATTACCTGATGAACGCCAAAAACTCGATACCCGTCATTCAGAATTGACCCCCTTGACAAATCTTTTGACGTGTCTCGCCGTTTTTTTCTTTTAATCTGTGGTTTTCAATAAATCGGTGGTGGGAAGTTTTCAAATGAACACCCTGAATAAATGAAATACAAATAGAAAGAAACATGTCAAGCATAGTTATGTAGATATGAACTTCCACCAGAACATTTTTTTGAATGGCCACCTTGATTTGGGCTGGGTATGCCCTTGATATCTAATTATTGTGATTTATTTTAGGTTGTAAGAAACTATAAAATAGAATGGGCTGGAGGAACCTTAGACTCTAGATCATTACTCATAAATAAACCAGATGGACCAATCTTATTAACTTTCAAGAAAAGGGAATAACTTTTTAGCAAATTTTTATTGATGCATTTTTGAAATGTACAACCTATGTATTTTAATATATTGTAATAAAATAGTTTATCTATTTCTGTATGGTGTCCTAGTTTTTCGGTTAAGGAATTTATACAAATAAAAGATCCTCTTTTCTAACTGGTACCATTTTGTTGGCCTTGCTAAAGGATATGTCGTTTGTCCCAACATTTTCCTCTTCCGAAGCATGACCTGGTACTCATTCCCACCAACTCCTCTCAACCAAGTTGGCACATTATAAAGTATCCTTGCAGGATGGATGTTTTCATTGCCCAAGATGTCTATATAGTCATTCTGGCCAAACAAAGCCTTCTTCTCTGACCAAGCATCCTGGGGCCTGTATAATGGGATAGGAAGTGGTTGTGCCTTTGGGTCTCGAGGCAGCAGTCCTCTCTGCAATACTTTTTCTTCATATCCATGTCTTCTGACTAAGGGCCCCCTGGCAACTTTATCTGCATGGTATCGAAATCGTACAAATGACTTCTGGGTGGTGAATGGTTTGATGCCATTGAGAACAGTTTTCACGACATTATTTAATAAAGACATCTTTGTAATGGACAGCTTTAAAACTACGTTGTATGTGATTTTGCGGAAGTTTTATTTAATAATGAATTTTGCATAACCTCACTTTTTCGTACATGACAGGTATAATTCGTGATGGGGTAATAAACGAATTTGGGACTAGTGGTGTTGATGCTTGCTACTTTTGAGTATTCGTTACTCTTCTACAAAGTAATCATTTATTGTATTCGTTACTATGAGTATAGCGATTTGACAACGTACGTCGTGTAATTAATTTCGAAGTTGAACAACTACAATGGTACCGAATCTTGTAAAAAAATAAACAACCTTAAAATTTGGGACTAGTGTTGATTCTTGTTACTTTTGAGTATTCGTTACTCTTCTACAAAGTTATTGTATTGGTTACTTTGATTATCATAAGTATAACGATTTGGCAACGTAGTCGTGTAATTAATGTCGAATTTGAACTATAGGCAGCAACGGTGGCCGCAGTAGTAGACTCTTCGGTCTCTTGATCAGTCGCTGTGCGGGTTCAAATCCCGTCCCAGGAGAAATTTTTCTCTTGGCTATGGATGTTGTGATTGTCCGTGCGTGGTAGACGGTCTCTGACTGCAAACGCGGAGGTACCACCCGGCGGATCTCGTAGACGGGGCCAGAATGTGTGCATGTTGCACGGTACCCATGAGTGTTTAGACCTTAGGCCTTCGTGGTGATTGGAGTATAAAAAAAACTACAATGGTACCGAATCTTGTAAAAAAATAGACAAGCTTAAAATTTGCACAAATTTTCAAGCATGGTTTATTCAAATCTGCCGTTTTTAATGCAAACATCGTATCTTCAAACTTTATGCAAAACGAGATGGGTTATTATAGGATAGGGTGTCATAGGACTAATATGAGCCTAAAAACTTGAAAATACTAGAAATGCCTAAAAATCATGTCTTTTAGTTTGAAAGATGATCTGTATATGGGCTTAAGGAAATTCAGAATGGCATGTAGTTTTTCAAAGCATTTCAATTAAGCATGTTCCAGTATAAAAAAATTTTCGTGGAGCTTTGTCCGTGCATACTATTTCTGGTCATACTGAATTATAAACTTTCAGCAAGATGTGGGACAAGTAACCAGGAATCAAATTGACATAATTTTTATTATTGTGGAAAACATTAATTTATTGATTTAGCAGAAATGATAGGAAAAAGCGATAAAAAAAGAGATTAGCAAAGCTGTAGGTATACAGGTGGACATTATTCAGTGAGTTTATATGACCATATTTTAGTATTCTTGTGGTATATGGCTACACAGGATACTTTTTTAAGCATAGGAACTAGATTTAAAGTATCCCCATCAACAGTAATGAGTGTAACTAATAAGGGCTCTATTTTATGCTACAACTGAAGTCAGCATAGCATGTATCAAGTTTCCAAAAAATGAAGCTGAAGTACATCAATAATATCCAATACCCGCCAAAATTTGTCACATTTTAAATAATAACCAGAAATATAAAACTACTCAGGAGTTGGGTAAATACCACAGTTTTACGGTGATAACTAGTGATGTTGAAAGGGTAATCTTATGAAACTCGTAGATACCCGAAGTAACGAGTACCAATCCGAGCACGAAATGATTACTTTGATTACTCTGTTTTCCGTATCCCTACCCGGTACCTGCACAATCGTTGATCGTTGAGTGGTAACGCTGGTTAGACTGTAGCACTACCGCTCATGCACCAGGGTTGCCAGACATCCCACATTCAGATGGAAACCTGGAAACTCATTTTTTTTATTGGCGGACATAGAATTTGGTAATTGTTTTTAAATCTGAAGTTTACCTATTTACACCGTGACACAAATTCGCTTTTATTGTTGTGTTCTTGGGAACCTGAAAAGGCATAAGTAGTCGATTGGATCGGATCAAAGTTGGCAGTATTATGAGGCAGAAAAGCGACAACAAGGTAACACCACCGTTCAGGAAAACCACAATAATAAAAGTTATGTCAATTTGACTCGTGTTTCCATGCACTGTTTTGCTAAAAAAGTTATAATTCAATATGACCACCAATAGTATGTGTAGACCAAGCTCAACGTAGAATTTTTTATACTGGTATATTATGCTTAATTGAAATGCTTCGAAAAGTCATATGCCATTTCGAATTTCCTTAAGCCCATAAATATACAGATCATCTTTCTGACTAAAAGACGTTTTTAAGTATTTCTAGTAAATACAAGGTATTTTCAGTTTGTAGGCTCATATGAGTCATATGACACTCCATCCTATGATAACTCATCTCGATAAGCATACAGTTTGAAGATACAATGTTTGCATTAAACACGATAGTCTTCAATAAACGATGCTTATAACTTTTGCAAATTTTAAGGTCGTCTATTTTCTTATAAGATTAGGTTCCATTCAACTTGTTTAAATTCGACATTAATCACACGACGCACATTGCCAAATCGTTATACTCATACTACTCATAGTAATCAAAGTAACGAATACAATAAACGATTACTTTGTAGAAGAGTAATGATTAGTAACGAGTACTCGAAAGTAACGATAACCAACACCACTAGGGATAACTATGACATATAACAGCTGATTCATGACGTCACGGATCTTATAACCAAACTAATATGGTGTATTTTTTAATTCACCGGTTGAGCAACCGGTGGACCAGACATCCGTCCTTTTAATTCAACTGGTTGCTGCCATCACCATACAAAGCTGTGAACAGTGTCAACCATAAGCACCGCATCCATCAGTGGTGGAATCAACCAGTGAATTAAAGAATTCACCTATTATCACACTAGCTTGAACGCAAAATGCAAAATGGTAAATACCATTTTCATTTGGTTATTCGCTTGAATTTGATTAATTATTTTTGACATCGCCCTTTCCTCATTGACAGATTATGTGTTCTGTGACGGGGGTTGTCATTTGTCATATTTGAAAATTCATACGTTATAAAAGTCCCTTTAAAAGCCTGACATTTTTTATAATTTGTAATGTTTATAACACAAAGCTATGGTTGATCAAGTGGAAATAAGAGAAATGTTCGATACAGCTTATTCATTAAGCGCATCAAACGTACATTACCCATCAGGTCCTTTACTCCAGAGTAAGTAATATTATATGAGTATCCTGCAAAACTGTATTGATGAATCTCATTCCAGGAAGACATAGATATAAAGTACATATTGGTGATGAAAATGAAACTCGTGCTATTTACGGTCCCACAGAATGCCATTCACATTCTCTAAGAATGAAGTCTGCTTTATGCTACAAAAAACTACTAAATAAATGTACACAAAAGGTGGATCATGCACCCCTACTTGTAGATGCCATAAAAAATTTAGACATTAAGTGCTCAACATATCCTGAAGAAAAGCATGTAGCAGAAATGTTACAGCATTTAAAAGAAATGCCCAAAGGTAAATTCTAAGAGTATACATGGAACAAACCCTTGAGAGATGTTACCTTGTGTTTACAAGCCAAATAGATTTAGTAGGGATGTATGCAAGAGTCGTCCTTGGAGCAGCTTACCAGTGACCCAGTTGAGTTACTCTGAGTAACTTGGTAGTCACTCTCAAACTTTAAATCACTGGAAAGCAGCTCATATAGCTTTTCAGGAAGATCCAAGAAGTCCCATTGGAATCAACTACATTGTAGCTTTAATTTTTGATTTTTTGGTCACTATCTGATATCATTTATTCTTATTAAAATGATCCTGTCAGGTTTTACTTATACTGGTTGAGTGTAGATCATATAGTCTAATCATATTAGCAGATTTCTTCGAAATAATTGTAAAGTCTGGTTTTATTGATGCAAGTTGGTCAAGAAGGTATTTAAAACATGGATGCATAAAATGGGTACACCAACTTTTATGAGAAAACTTTTTAATTGACAACAAAGAATGAGAAAACGTGTTTTTTGGGATTCAATTAAAAGTGTTGGCAGGAATGAGAAAACTCGTCAAATAAGATTTTTAGGTACTTATGAGACCACATGTAAAAATATCCCACTAATAGTAAAAAAGTTAGGGGCAAAAACTTAGGCAAAATGCAAGTTTTCGGCACTCGTTGCTAATGCGATGATAATTTCACGCAGCAACCACAACAAAATTGGAGTCGATTGGTCAAGTAGTTTTTGAGAATTTCTAATTGTTTATTCCAAAACACCTGTCTTCCAGCCATCACTATAGTTTAATGAGCAATATACAGGGTTCGTTCAAAGTGCGTTTCATAGCAAAATACACAAGTTTAACTTGCCAACATGAATCACAAGCCGTTCCAAAAGATAATTGTTATTTTTATGCTACAAACAAAGGCTTACGTTTTTTTCATCTAAACAAATTCAAACATTCGTATTTGGAACCAAAGGTGATAGACACATCGACTTTGTTTTAAAATGTGTATATTTTTTCCCAACATCGTAACGAATCTGTTCAGTTACTCACAAATACGATATGTTTGATTTTTGTTTTGGAGAAAAAAAGGAAACCTTCATTTTTCACATAAAGCTAACAATTATCTTTCGGAATGGCTTGTGATTCATGTCGGCAAAGTAAACCAGTGTATTTTATTATAAAATGCCATTTGAACGAACCTTGTATATTGCTCAATAAAAATCTGCATTTACTTTTACTATTAGTCGGATCCTTTTACATGTAGTCTCATTCTGTAGGTCTCATAAATACCTAAAAATCTTATTTGAAAAGTTCCTGCCAACATTTTTGATTGAATCCCAACAAACATGTTTTCTCATTCTTTGTTGTCGAATAAAAAGTTTTCCCACAAAAATTGGTCTACCCATTTTATGCATCCATGTTTTAAAAACCCCCTTGAACAACTTGCAGCAGTAAAACCAGACTTTACAATTATTTTGCAAGCCAGGGGTATTTTCACCCAATATGATTAGACTAATATTGAAGATATATTTTCATTTTGTCCTGCTTGTGAAATATATAAAGGAAAATTATAAGATCAATTATGTTAAAAAATGTTTAGCCACTGACAACCATACTATCTTGGCAGCGTGTTAACTGAATATCGATAATTCAGAACAATTTAATGATTCTACTTTTCTATTTTATAGAATGGACTCTTGTGCAACTAACACCTAAGTATAACCCATTAGAAAAC